AAGGGAAGAAGGATTTCTACAGACAACTACAAGCACTAATAGATACGACCCTACTCCAGATGGCGTTATAATATTTCTAGTGGATGATATGAATGCGAGCCAAACTGCGACCAGCCAACATAGGAAGAAAACTCATGAAGAGTCAAAGGGTGCTCAGTGAAAGGAGAGAAGACGTGAAACTCCTCCACAAACTTCTCAGCATTTAATGATTGACCGATTGATGGTAGTGCGAACAAGCACAAGGACATCCACAAAGCGATACAAATTTCACTAGATATACACTCAAAGTTATATATAAATTACTTCAATTTTAAAATAGTATAAGCACAGACTACTGGATATGAAATTGAGAAAAGAAGTGGTTGACTGTTCAGACCACTATCTAATGCAAAGAAACATCGACATAAAGTAGAAAATCATCAAAGAAGCTGGAGATAAACCAAAATTCAAGAGCAACACTCAGAAATAGAAGGATAAAGCTACATACAACATCTATACGGAAGTCGCCAAGGCGAAGTCGGCGACAATAAGCAAAATCACCTGTGTGGAAGAACACTGGAACACAATAAAAAGTGAAATGAAAGGAAACCTGCATAGACATGTAACGCAAGAGTTAGAAGAAGCAACAGCTCACAACAAACGAACTTATAACTGAGAGAAGACGGGAAGATATAACAACAGACGAACAAAGGGAGAAGCTGAGTACACCCTTAATACAACTGTAAAAAGGAATGAAAAAGTGCAAGAAAGATCTCCATACAACACACCTGACTGTCTGTTTTCCACATAGAACTTTGCACCAATGTGCAGCAGTTCAAGTCGCCACACTCCATGTAGCACACAAAGCAAGAGAAGAAAGTATAAGAAATGCATAATAGAGACAGTAAACAGAACTGTGAGGCGAAGGAATAGTAATAACGAAGAACAACATAGTTTCATTGGAAATCATAAGTTACAAGGAGTAGATGCATCTGCACCATTAAGAACGATTTTGAGCCATGTCACCAATTGTTTCCAACCATTGGTTTTTACCGTCCCGAGGACGCCAACCAGGAAGTCTACATCTTCCTACGTGGTTGGTATAAACTAACTGTTGTGGATTTCATTGACTGATGCCATGTTTCGGTTTGACCGCCGCTAGGTCTTTTCCGGTCTGACCCTATGTCAGCTAACATTGCCCGTCGAGGAAGGTGATGACAAGGAATGCGTAACACATATCCTAACCATCTCAGTCGGTGTTACTTCACAGCCTTATCGATTCATTTCCCTTCCTTACCTACCACTCGACGCCTAACTTCAATATTGCTCACCTTATTATACCACTTCACACGGTAGATAGAACGCAGGCACCTATGATCGAAGACAACTAATCTTTTCATGTCTTCCACTCTCAATGGCCAGGTCTCACAGCCATAAAGGAGGACGGAGCGGACTGATGAGCAGTACGCCCGCCCTTTGGTCGATAGCCGGATATCACATCTACGCCACAGACGGTGTAAACTGGCATATGCGAAACCAGCCCTCTGTATCCGTGCTGAGACTTCGTCAGAGATCAACCCGTTGGGGATGACGGTACTTCCCAAATAAGTGAAGCGGTCAACGTGCTCTACCATTTCACTCCCTGTTTCTAAATTAGGAGTCAGTGTAGTTCAGTCCTGTAACATCATCTTACATTTGGTGGGGGCGAATCGCATGCCAAACATTCGTAGATTGCAGCACAATACACCAGGGAGTATTAAGTTACCACGAGAGTGGAACAGAGGAAAAACTGAAGTAATCACTTCAGAGGACTTTTGAGTAATCCACCACTTGTTGGTACAGATGTAGAATGTTCAACAACCACGCGGGTGGTTCAGGATTTGATCCCCAACCAACGCACTCCTAAACCTCGCTAAGCCAGTAATAAGACTGGTAAAGAGGAAAAGTTGGGCATGAGGCTAGCAACCCCATCCTTTAAAAATAAATGCCACTACTACCGAAACTTTAAAGATCTAGCTTGAAGCCCTTTGTCCCACTGGGAACGTGAAGGAATAAAATAACAAATTTTTAAAAAAAGTGAAAATCATCCAAACAAAACTACCACTGAGTACCGAGTCTCTAACAAAAAGTAGAAGTTCAGGTCATAGGTTATTAAAAGCTGAGAAAGCAACAGGACCATATAGAATCCCCCCAAGAACACTGAAAGAGGACCCAGAGGTCTCAGTGAAAACTCCTGCGCTAATAAGTGTAGTAGAAAGGAAGGAAGAGTACCCGCCGACTGGAAGAGAAGCTACCTTACCAAACTGTCAAAGCTTATGCAAAACTAGCGCGGAATCGTGCTTCTGTCCACCCGAAGCAAAATAATAGGCCACAGCATCTTAAGACTAAAAGATAACTTGGATGGAATACCTCTCCTGAAACGGACTGAACTTAGGAAAAAGACCATTACCGGATCAAACTACATTACGAGTCATCATTGCGCAGTCTAGGATGACAGTCAACTCTCCACCTTACTAACTTTGAAATGACATCGAACAGCGGAGTATTTCAGAAACTACTTCAGCAATACGGCGCGCCGCAAGATATATAAACACCTTTTAACAGCCATATGCTAAGTGGTTCACAATGGGAAAGCCACCGAAGCTTTTAATTGTAGACCGGAGTAAGACAACTCTGCCTACTGTCACTGATGATATTTCTGATTATAGGAGACCGGATAATGCGGCGCACAATGACGAGTGAGAAGCAGGGAGCTTGAGTCGAACTGAGATCTTAAAAGATCTGAATATCAAGCATGACTTATGTATCATATCACACAAACTCAAACACATACTAGCGGAAGCCAACACAATTCCATAAGAGGTAGCGACGTACATACGTACATATAGAGAAGAGACAGGTAATGATTATAAGAAAAGCAGAAACCAGTCCCAATCACTACTACCTGGGGATATCTAAAGAAACCGCTCCTTTAACTCATCCCAATTGGAAACCGCCGCTGCAACTACAGCTGGCAGTCGTAAGTTTACCGAATATATGGCCTGGATTGCGAAAACAAGACACAATTTTAATACTCATATAAATACGCAGAACTAAAACGCTCATCCTCAGAAAAACATAGGCAGTAGGGAAACACTCTTCGAAGAGATAGGCACACATAGACACACACTCTGAAAATTCCATGCTGTAAATTTTTATTGTTGTGGAATAAAGTGATTATTATTATTATTATATCCCTCACATTTCACATTTTGTACATTTCAAGTTCATGTTTACATAAAATCAACGCAACACATTTAGGGAGCGATAACATCCGACGCAAAAACCGAATCCTACTGAAACCGTGAGTTAACTCGGTACTACTTCAACTTAACCGAAAATGCAGACATCAAAACCAAAGATGGAGGATTCATGGGGAAAGTAATACTAGTTGTTGCGTCTTACGTTGGAAATACCATGAAAAAGACATCAAAAGTCTTACCGCAATAAAAATGTGTCAACATACAAAATAAACTTGAAACCTACTACATCAAGTAGCTACCAAAGTATGCTACGAGCATTAAGACTGCTCTTCGTACAGGAACACTTGTCGGTTTCCATAGTAAGGCATCTAAAATTATAGCGAGGCTTCCCACAGAATGCTGACGCATAATATTCAACTGGCCGCACTTACACATGAATGATTATACCATGATGGGAGTGTCTTCATTTTCATCTCTGACGGTTTCACTAGTAAACCCTTGTCTACCATGAATATACTCCAGAATAAAACGCATACAACCTGGAAAGTTAAAGTGAACATTCACTTACTAAATTGGATGTAAATGTAACAGAGTACAAAGCGCTATGCCATTTTAGAGCTTTACAGTATTGCAAAGGAGCTGCCAGCGCGTAGTAAACAATCTGCAGCAGCTGGAATACAAAGTTTAATCATTGGTAACACATTCACCACATACCATAGTCAGACATGTAAGAAAGCGCAGTAATGCTATGACGTTATCCAGTGTAAATTTGGTATCTCCATTAAACACAAGGATAGTATAATGAAATATATACACGAAGAAACTTAGAGCTGTTACACGATATAATATGCTGAACAGAGCCGCCATCAAATTTCGCAAGTCAACCTTGGGCAAATCAAAGTACTACAATGTGATTCATAAGAACAATTAGTGTTCAATGAATAAAAACAGTATTCTTTTCATAAGGTCATTGAAAAATGAAACGTTGTATGCGTCTACAAGACGCGGTGCTCGAATGTGTTTACCAGTTTGAATGTACCTGTGATAGCACGTTCATGAGAACCAGAATACGTAATTTGACATGAATCCGGAAGCCTAAACCCACTGATTCTGAAAAGGGACATTCAAACAACTAAGATGACACTACTATGGAAATAGCGTATAAAATGGATATTGGCGCTCCCGTTTTAACTTATTATGGTTGCATTTAAACGTTAATCAATCTATAGTCACTATGAGGTTTGAATTAAAAGTTTGTCGACGAACACTGCTGTCGCACTAAATCCTCCTTTTGATAAATTCATTTTCTAAGACAAGATTGGTAAGATATATAACTTTCACTTTGAGATTAACCAGTAAATCAAATGCGGATATGTACACTGATTTGAAGAGTGAGGCTGTGGCCCATCAGTCTGTAATCATAATCAGTGAATGCAAAATCATTTAATCTATCAACCTTTCGGTAGCCAAGCAACACAAAATTAGACGTTAATAGACGTAGCTAGTGGGGGGAGGTACATGGAGGTGGTGATCAGGATTTAAAGAATTAGGATGAACAGCGTTTATTAATTACAATAATACAGATATTTTTTGAAAAATGTACACAAGAAGTAACAGGAACAAGACGATACATTGATTTTCACTACCCAGAGATGACAAAAAGCAAGAGATGGAAACAGATCTTATTTGCCTAAGGGTAATAATAACAACATGGAGTAATAGCACACTTGTACATGACAAAAATGATACAAAAAGGTTAAAAATGTCATTTCGTCGACTTCAGTCAGCCTTTTTAGGTTTCCTCTGTTTACCTGTAAAACAAATAAGAAGGAATACTAGTTTACGCAAAATAAATAGGTGGTGCACAAAGTAAAATCTTTTCTACAAAACATATATGCTACAATTAGTGTTATGTACAGGAGGGAAATTGACAACTTCGAAGAAATAAAAATTCATAGTAGGTTAACCACGGATTTCGACCTTGTACCTGAACCCCTTAGAACCCACTTACGAGACTGTGATGCACCAGAAAATCACATACCAATCTTTCATCCAACAGTGGTATGGTTATAGACTGTGTTTTCCATTCTCCTGATCATTTCTGCGAGTAGGAATCAATGAACAATATGGAAGGCAACTAGGGAGGATCCGTAACGTATATCCATAAGAGTGCAGTCAGTGTCTTGAGACATCGTTCAAAGAATGATTTTTTCCTAAGTTAAACGCATACCATCAGAGTTTAGAGCCATTTCTATTGTGTGGGTACAGAATACAAACAAGCCTATCAACATAGCTACGATAATACTTACAGAGTTGTAGTACATTCTTAGTTAGGTGAAGTTAAGGTTCACTTACGAAGAGTAGAACTGCGTTATAAACCTGACTTACGAAGCACATGTCAGTACACTTCCTTTGTACTCTGTCACTAGGACTGCATCATGAAAGCTGAGTTTAAAACAATTAGGACATTTTTGAAAATATGGTTTTTGGTGCTGAACTTCTTGACAACATGCCTCTTCAACAAAGAATCACATTTTACGACCTTCTTAAGCGAATTAAACGCAATTTCTATACTAGGGTGCGTCGGTGGCACAGCGGTTAGGACGCTCGCCGACCATGCACATGGTCCGAGGTCCGATCGCCGGCCGACGCACTCCTCTACCTCGCTAAGCCGGAAGAAATGCTGGTAGAGGGGGAAGATTGGGCATGAGGCTAGCAATCGCATCCTGTAAAGTAAACACTGCTACAGAAACTTCAAGCAGCTAGCTTGAAGCCCTACGTTCCATTGGGAACGTGAAGGAAAAATTATTATTATTCTATGCTAGGAATACAAAAGACCAGGTTCTCAATGACAGTTGAAGAGTTTTTTCAGAGAAAATATATATGGTCAATATATTCAAAGCCTGAAAATCCGGTTCGCATGTACTTCTTAATAAGACTTGTAACAGTCTTAAATTCTACTTATACACGTATTGTGCACACTACTACCAGCGACAACAATACTTAATAATTAACGGAATGTTGAAGTCTCATACCTACAAGATATTCAAGCACTCTTTAGAAACCAGGGATTGGATATACTGAAGACTGATCATGACATAGGCTATGACACAACTTTATTTATGTCAATGTTCAACTAGATAAGAATGGTGTTACTCACTAGCTTAATGTGTGAGCTCTCAAGTGAACGGGTCTCGGATTCAGATCCACTCTGACCTCGGTAACCATCAGTAGTCAATTGCATTTTACTTGGTAAATGGTTTGCAGTTATTTTATTTATTTTATTTTTATCACTTAAAATCGAACATATGTTGATTACAGAATGTAAACACAAATCAAATAATAAAGATGTAACGAATTATAATTATTCGATACAGTAGAGAAAGTACAAGACAATTAGAATTCGGAATTCTTTTTTATTTACGAAAGCTCACATAGTAGGGAGATATTCAGTTGTGAAAATGAGACTTAACAGCAACTTGTTGACAAATCGGACACAATTAGAAACAGAGTAAGTGTTAGAAAGCCTTACTAATAAATGAAATCTTAAAGTTTTAAAAATTACACATCAAATAAATCCCAAGCAATGATGTGTCTTAGGCATAAATAAATCTTTTCGGAAAGCGCATTGACAATTATTTTATCAATTTGAGAAATAGAGGAATAATGAACAGTGTTTATGACGTTTGCTAGGTTCAGTTCAGCTTAAATTTATGTACTAGCATAAAGTTTAGCTATTTGTGACAAAAACTTTAGTGAATGGTAGGCAGATATAAATATTAACAAATAGAAATCGCATCCATTCGATTTACTGCAATCAATCATAGTAAAGATAGGAAAGAACATAATGACAATATACTTATGGAACACAAATCTATCATCTGTTTCGTTCTAGTTTGAGACTCTTCAGCAGTACGCACCAACCGGGGTTCGAATCCAGGACCTTCTGGTTACAAGGTACTGCTGAAGAGTCCCAGACTAGAACGAAACAGCTGTCCAGTACTCCCAGGTTTTCCAGTGGTTCTCTAACTGATGTCAGCTCATGATTAAATCCTCCATGCAATCAAACAAAATCCCTACAAAACCAATACTTGAAAACAAATCTGTCACTTAACAAATATAATTCATTATACTCATTTCGATAAAAACAATTAGATTGACGAATGAAGAACTGGATTTGTTACAAAAATACATAGAAAGACTTTCAGTGTCAGTAATCTCAGTGTTAGATGGAAGCAAGGGAAAATCATAGTAGTCATGTCTCAGTTGGTTATGCTAAATCTAGTTGTGGCTATGCTACATAGTATAAAAAGGTAACTTTAAAACAGGTCACCAACATAAACACTAAGCCATATAATGATTGTAAATTTCAAGCCCTCAAAATAGAAAGTGAACATTTCAGTCTGTTTTCAATGAAAGACATGATTCATGAAACCACAAGTATTTTGAATAATAAAAACTAGTCTCAAAAGAATCAAGAAACAAGGATAGCTACTAAGGTTTGGAGATAATACCTCAAAATGCAATAAGAAAATCTCTGAGATTATTACAAACACATAAGGGAAACAAACGGGATCGCTAACATAACCAATGTGGGTTAGAATAGTAATTTTAAAGGAGAATATTTAACACTACAACACACAGGGGAAAAACAACTTGAGCTAGTATATATATGCGATTATGCCTGTGAGCATACTCTTGGAATTATAGGAAAAACTGTTCTGATGGTGAATACTGCCATGGCGAAACATAATGGGGAAACTTTATAATCAAAACCGTCTTCTTCATTTACCTAATGGTAACAACAATTTTCATTGTTCACGGTGCCTACAATATCATGAAATACGTGTTTTTCAACCATGACGTTCATTCAATACCATCCTTATATATCATGAACAGAACTAGCAAAGTTGTGACAATATAGTGCTCAAGAATGTGTCTACAACCGTGTTTTGCACGCCATGACACAGCCCCGTCGAAATGATCTTATTTTGAATATTTAAACTCCAACTGAATAGACTAGCAAGCGCAGGAATACCTGTCTGCTTTCCACATAGAACTTTGCACCGATGTGCAGCAGTTCAAGTCGCCACACTCTATGTAGCACACAAAGCAAGAGAAGAAAGTATAAGAAATGCATAATAGAGACACTAAACAGAGCTGTGAGGCGAAGGAATAGTAATAACGAAGAACAACATAGTTTCATTGGAAATCATAAGTTACAAGGAGTGGATGCATCTGCACCATTAAGAACGATTTTGAGCCATGTCACCAATTGTTTCCAACCATTGGCTTTTACCGTCCCGAGGACGCCAACCAGGAAGTCTACATCTTCCTACGTGGTTGGTATAAACTAACTGTTGTGGATTTCATTGACTGATGCCATGTTTCGGTTTGACCGCCGCTAGGTCTTTTCCGGTCTGACCCTATGTCAGCTAACATTGCCCGTCGAGGAAGGTGATGACAAGGCATGCGTAACACATATCCTAACCATCTCAGTCGGTGTTACTTCACAGCCTTGTCGATTCATTTCCCTTCCTTACCTACCACTCGACGCCTAACTTCAATATTGCTCACCTTATTATACCACTTCACACGGTCTGTCTGGATTCAACATAGAACTTGGCACCGAAGTGCAGCAGTTCGAGTTGCCACGTTCCAAATAGCACACAGAGGTAGACAAGAAGATGAGTGGAGAGAATTAATAGAGTTTGACAAATATAGGAGTGAAACAGAATGGGTAATGGTAGAAAGGAATATGAAAGATTACAGAGATTGAATACATCTGCGCCATTGACAACGATTTTGAGCCATGTCACCTATTGTCTCCAGCCATTGATTCCTAGAGTCCCGAGGGCCCCAACCCGGGAGTCTGCATCTCCCTACCTGACTCAGTTTAACTGTCAAGGATTTCATGGATTGATGCCATGTTTTTGTTTGGCCACCACTGGCTCTTTTCCAACCTGAACCTATATCAGCTAACAATGCCCGTCGGGGGAGGCGGTGGTTAGGCATGCGCACCACGTGACCTAGCCATCTTAGTCTATGTAACTTTATAACCTCGTCGATTGATTTTCCCTCTTTGCCCAACACTCTACGCCTAACGTCAACATTACTTATCTTGTGAAACCACCTAACGTGAGACAGAGATCGCAGACATCTATGATCGAAAGCAGTCAACCTTTTCATGTCTTCAACGCGTATTGGCCATGTTTCAGAGCCATAGAGAAGGACGGAGCGAACTGATGAGCAGTACACACGTCCCTTGGTTGATAACCGGATGTCACGCCTACGCCAGAGATGGTGTAAGTCAGCGAAAGCAGCTCGAGCTTTTCGGATCCGTGCTGAGATTTCATCGCCAATCAGTCCGTTGGTGCTAATACAACTTCCCAAGTAGGTGAAGTGGTCAACATGTTCTATCACTTCACTCCCTATCACTAAGTTAGGGGTTGACGTCGTCCAGTCCTGTAGCAGCATCTTACATTTTGCAGGGGCGAATCGCATGCCAAACATACGAAGATTGCTGCTCAAGGTGTTCAGAAGACTCTGCATTTTGTCAGCATCCTCCCCTAACAGGACTATGTCATCTGCATATTCTAAGTCCATTAGATTATTCCCTGGTAACAAGTCGATTCCTAAGTCACTACGTTCAGTTAAGGATACTTCCATTAGCATATCTATGATGAAGTTAAACAGAAATGGGGAAAGTGGACATCCCTGTCGGACACCACTGGTTGTTACTAATTCAGATGACAATTCCCCATAAGCCCTTACACGACTACGTGAGTTTGAATAGAGTGCCTTGATTAGT